AAAATGCCTATGGGAGGGGTTCGAGGTCAAAATTGTCATAAAACCATGTAATTTGGAACACATGTTCCTCAAGTCAAAACATTGAATTTTTTTTATTATGGCTAAGCCCTCTGACAAACAGGAAGCCCATAAATTTCACTGCAAAATGGAAAAATGAACAGCAAAAGTTTTCATACATGTCGGTTGGAAAGCGACTCCTCCTCGGCCGTTTCACCGATTCGCCTCAAAATTGCTCCACATCATCTCAACACATGTACCTTCAAAATGACCTCAGGGATTTTTGATCAGTGAAACATTGTTTGAGCAGCGGAGCGGCAAAATGTGACCTTTTTTTGGCCGTTTTTGACAACATTAAATTTGCTCCCGTTTGCACAAACAAAGTCTGATTTGCACAAAACTTTAATACATTGTTCAACTCTAGGGTCTAGGTCGTTTGAAGGTGAATTAATTCACATTGACACATTAGCGCCCCCTACAGACTATTTCAAAGTTTTAGATGGGCATTTTCAAATTTAGTTTTTTCAAAATGTTTGAAATTTTGCACATACATCTGTTTTGCCCTCTTGATTCAAAAAGTCAATGGGTCCAAGGCTTATTTTTTACCCTGTTGCCGTGGCGACGAGAAACGCTCCCCATTCATTGCAAATGTACACCTCACACAAACATCAAACCACCTCGGCCGTTTCACCGATTTCGCCTCAAAATCGCTCCACATCATCTCAACACATGTACCATCAAAATGACTTCAGGGAATTTTGATCAGTGAAACGTTGTTTGAGCAGCGGAGTGCCAAAAAGTGGCATATTTTTTTTCAGTTTTTGACAATAGAAAAAATGTTTCCGTTTGCACAAACAAAGTGTGATTGGCACAAAACTTGAATCCATGGTTAACTCTTGCGTCTAGGTCATTTGAAAGTTGAAATTTTGAAATTGGCTCTATAGCGCCACCTACAACAGCCAATTTAAAAATGCCTATGGGATGGGTTCGAGGTCAAAATTGTCGTAGAGCCATGTAATTTGGAACACATGTTCCTCAAGTCAAGACATGGATAAAATGTTATTATGGCTAAGCCCTCTGACAAACAGGAAGCCCATAAATTTCATTGCAAAATGGAAAAATGAAAACCAATCATTTTCATAAACGTCGGTTGGAAAGCGACTCCTCCTCGGCCGTTTCACCGATTGGCCTCAAAATTGTTCCAAATCATCTCAACACATTTACCTTCAAAATGACTTCAGGGAATTTTAATCAGTGAAACGTTGTTTGAGCAGCGGAGCGGCAAAATGTGAGGTTTTTTTTGGCCGTTTTTGACAACATACATTTTTTCCCCGTTTGCACAAACAAAGACTGATTTGCATTAAACTTGAATCCATTGTTCAACTCCAGGGTTTAGGTCAGGTGAAAGTGAAATATTTGAAATTGGCCCATTAGCGCCCCCTACAGACTGATTCAAAGTTTACATGGGGAGCCAAACCAGCTCTACTTATCATATTCATTACAATTTGACTAAGTTCTTCTATGGCTACGGGAACCAATCATCACACGGCGGCGCCACCTCCTATGCGCGGTGCTGCGTGGTACGGTGTGGTGCGACGTAGTGCGGGGCGTTGTGGAGCGGTGCGTTGCGGCTTGGTGCGGGGCGGCGTGATGCGGGACGGCGTGGTGCGGGGTGGCTTGGTGCGGGGTGGCTTGGTGCAGGGCGGCGTGGAACGGGGGGGTGCGCGCGGTGCGGCGAGGGCCGTTCGACGCCGCTTGCGGCTTTAATTTATTTATTTCTTTCTTTCTTTCTTTCTTTCTTTTTTCTTCTGCACTTTGAGCCTTAATTTGACCCCCTGAACATGCATGAAAAGTTGTTAAATTTTGCCCAAAAATCAGACCTGGCGAAAAATTTGATATTTTGGTGTTTATTTTAATGGGACTCAAAAAATGCCGGAACAGCGCCACCTACAACAGCCAAAATAATACCCCTATGGGACTTTTAGAGATCAAGTTTGTCGTAGAGCCATGAAATTCGGTACACATGTTCCTATAGTCAAGACAAGAAAAACATATTATTATGGCTCCACCCCCTAACAAACAGGAAGCCCATAAATTTCACTGCAAAATGGCAAAATGAACAGCAAAAGTTTTCATACATGTTTGTTGGAAAGCGACTCCTCCTCGGCCGTTTCACCGATTCGCCTCAAAACCGCTCCACATCATCTCAACACATGTACCTTCAAAATGACCTCAGGGATTTTTGATCAGTGAAACATTGTTCGAGCAGCGGAGCGGCAAAATGTGACCTTTTTTTGGCCGTTTTTGACAACATTAAATTTGCTCCCGTTTGCACATACAAAGTCTGATTAGCACAAAACTTTAATACATTGTTCAGCTCTAGGGTCTAGGTCATTTGAAAGTCAAATGATTCCAATTGACTCATTAGCGCCCCCTACAGACTATTTCAAAGTTTTAGATGGGCATTTTCAAATTTAGTTTTTTCAAAATGTTTGAAATTTCGCACATAAATCTGTTTTGCCCTCTTGATTCAAAAAGTCAATAGGGTCCAAGGCTTATTTTTTACCCTGTTGCCGTGGCGACGAGAAACGCTCCCCATTCATTGCAAATGTACACCTCACACAAACATCAAACCAGCCTCGGCCGTTTCACCGATTCGCCTCAAAATCGCTCCACATCATCTCAACACATGTACCATCGAAATGACTTCAGGGAATTTTGATCAGTGAAACGTTGTTTGAGCAGCGGAGCGCCAAAAAGTGGCGTATTTTTTTTTCAGTTTTTGACAATAGAAAAATTGCTTCCGTTTGCACAAACAAAGTGTGATTGGCACAACACTTGAATCCATGGTTTAACTCTTGGATCTAGGTCATTTGAAAGTTTAAATTTTGCAATTGGCTCTATAGCGCCACCTACAACAGCCAATTTAAAAATGCCTATGGGATGGGTTCGAGGTCAAAATTGTCATAGAACCATGTAATTTGGTACACATGTTCCTCAAGTCAAGACATGGAAAAAATGTTATTATGGCTAATCCCTCAGACAAACAGGAAGCTCATAAATTTCATTGCAAAATGGAAAAATTAAAACCAATCATTTTCATACATGTCGTTTGGAAAGCGACTCCTCGGCCGTTTCGCCGATTGGCCTCAAAATTGCTCCAAATTATCTCAACACATGTACCTTCAAAATGACCTCAGGGATTTTTGATCAGTGAAACATTGTTTGAGCAGCGGAGCGGCAAAATGTGACCTTTTTTTGACCGTTTTTGACAACATTAAATTTGCTCCCGTTTGCACAAACAAAGTCTGATTTGAACAAAACTTTAATACGTTGTTCAACTCTAGGGTCTAGGTCATTTGAAAGTGAATTGATTCAAATTGACACATTAGCGCCCCCTACAGACTATTTCAAAGTTTTAGATGGGCATTTTCAAATTTAGTTTTTTCAAAATGTTTGAAATTTTGCACAAAAATCTGTTTTGCCCTCTTGATTCAAAAAGTCAATAGGGTCCAAGGCTTATTTTTTACCCTGTTGCCGTGGCGACGACAAACGCTCCCCATTCATTGCAAATATACACCTCACACAAACATCAAACCAGCCTCGGCCGTTTCACCGATTCACCTCAAAATCGCTTCACATCATCTCAACACATGTACCTTCAAAATGACTTCAGGGAATTTTGATCCGTGAAACGTTGTTTGAGCAGCAGAGCGGCAAAATGTGAGGGTTTTTTTGGCTCTTTTTGACAACATTAATTTTGCTCCTGTTTGCACAAACAAAGTCTGATTTGCACAAAACTTTAATCCATTGTTCAATTCCAGGGTTTAGGTCAGGTTAAAGTGAAATATTGGAAATTGGCCCATTAGCGCCCCCTACAGAATGTGTCAAAGTTTACATGGGGAGCCAAACCAGCTCTACTTATCATATTCATTACAATTTGACTAACATTCTTCTATGGCTACGGACACAAATCATCACACGGCGGGACCACCTCCTTTTAGCGGTGCTGCGTGGTACGGTGTGGTGCGGCGTAGTGCGGGGCGTTTTGGATCGGCGCGTTGCGGCTTGAGCGCGGCGGCGTGGTGCGGGACGGCATGGTGCAGGGCGGCTTGGTGCGGGGCGGCGTGGTGCGGAGAGTGCGCGCGGTGCAGGGAGTCGCGCGGTGCGGCGAGGGCCGTTCGACGCCGCTTGCGGCTTTAATTATTATAATTATTATTATTATTATTATCATTATTATTAATATTATTATTATTATTATATCTTTTACTAAACGCAGTCAGAGAGTGAATCATGGTTCGATAAAGACAGTTGTGTTTCTGCTGAATAATGGGTTGACACTCACATTTTTTTTCTTGGTTAGAGATTGAAAGCATTCATTTCGGAATCATTATTGATGTTCGCTGACGTCAGATTGTTCTGGTATCGACTCGCCCGGTTAGAACCAGGGCCAAACCATTAATAAAAAGTACCGGGGAGGGGCTAAAGCGAGCGGTGGAAGCGCCCGCAAACCGGGGAGAGTCGAGTCCAGCTCTTTTGTACTGTAGGAGTCAACTTCTGTCATTATCATGTTGATGACATTTACAATAAATCTGTCTGAGCAGAGGTGTGTGTGTGTGCGTGTGCGTGTGCGTGTGTGTGTGCGTGTGCGTGTGTGTGTGTGTGTGTGTGTGTGTGTGCGTGTGTGTGTGCGTGTGTAAGGGATGGGATGATGTTTATGTAGTGCACATTTGTATGATGTGGCTCTTTGCTGTAACACAGTAAAAAAAATTGGCTCTTAGTCTCTGACTGGTTGGCCACCCCTGAGCTAAAGCAGCGACCTATGATGCATAAGCATAACACCTGTCCAGCATAACACCTGTCCAGCATGGAGACGGTCGTCTTGCCCCGCTCAGGGTGACTGCCAGCCCAAACCATGGAGGAAGCTGGTGTACAGGTGTACTCCATCCTCGATGGGAGGAACGCCTGACCACCCATACACTAGCGCCGGGGGTTTGGCTGTCATGGGCCTATCCCCTCAAAGCTGGCATATTGCAGCAGAGGCTCCAAACTGGGAGCTACCACGTCACGTCTGCGCTGCTGGGGGGAAGGAGCGAGGGACTGAAGATAGTCTAGCGGAGGTGAGGCGGGCTGGACCGGCATCGCCCTGACATCACCGAAGAACCAGGCGAAGCAGGGATAGATGGTGGGACACCATTAGCGATGCCACCCTGGGCACCACTCCAGGCGGCATCGAGTAATCCACTGCGTCTAAATCGCTTCTCTCTCAGGGAGCACGAGACAAGCTACACAACTCGGGCTTTCCCCCGCGGCATGACGCCAGCGACCATGCTTCATTATATGACGCTCTGTCTTGCCACCCAGCAAGTGGCGCATGCGCACATGGATGTAAACAAAGATCCTCCTATTGACCAGATGCATCAACGTCTTGATGCAACGTCTGTCTTCATGACGAGCAGGTATCAGATAAAAAAGCTTATGTCCTTGCCTGTTAGTATAATCAACCGCACTGCAAAATGTCACAGTTTTGGCTGCAATGCGCTGAAACAGGTTGTTTTGGTCAGGTGTCCGTAGGCTCGCAGTTAGACTTCTGCCGTCTGTCATGGAGAGTGGGCGTGGCCGGGACGTCACATGCAAGGGGTCAATTGCAGCGGCATCTCTTCTACAACGTACACCTAAGTCTATTTCTTTCGTCATTAAAGTCCAGGTTCTTATTGCGTGTTGGTGTTGAGCTGTTGAGGAGGCAACAGCTTTGCTGAGACGCTTTGTAGGGACTAGTTTTCCAGTGGACGCTGATAATTGTAATACCGGTATCTACAGTATATACAGTACAGACCAAAAGTTTGGACACTCCTTCTCATTCAATGAGTTTCCTTTCTTTTCATGACTATTGACATTGTAGATTCACACCCAGGCTGTGTAAGGGCTGTTTGACCAAGAAGGAGAGGGATGGGTGCTGGGCCAGATGACCTGGCCTCCACAGTCACCGGACCTGAACCCAATCAAAATGGTTTGGGGTGAGCTGGACTGCAGAGTGAAGGCAAAAAGGCCAACAAGTGTTTAGCATCTCTGGGAACTCCTTCAAGACTGTTGGAAGACCATTTCAAGTGACTACTTCTTGAAGCTCATCAAGAGAAAGCTAAGAGTGTGCGAAGCGGTAATCAAAGCAAAAGGTGGCTACTTTGAAGAACTTCGACTTTAAGACACATTTTCAGTTGTTTCATACTTTTTTATGTACATAATCCCACATGAGTTTGTTCATTGTTTGGATGCCTTCAGTGTGAATCTACAATTTTCATAGTCAGGAATGTAAATAAAACTCTTTGAATGCGAAGGTGTGTCCAAACTTTTGGTCTGTAATGTCTGTAATACCTCAAATACAGGAACATATAACAGATAATCACCTCATAAAACCGGCCGTCCCGCCAAAGGGACGTTTTCATTTTTAAAATGTTCTGCTGGCAATAGCAGATATATTTTCAACTTCTAACCTGGTGTTACTGCTGGTTCACCAGGTTTCCTTAAACAGTCGCCCGATGAAAGGAAGGAAATTACAAACTTAGATAGATATAAAAGAAGGTTTAATATATAAAACAGAATACATATAAAAGACAGGCAGAGAGAGAAGCCCGGGTCTGCGCGGAGGAAAGCCAAAGCACAAAAGACCACGCTGATAGATAGGGCCTCGCCTCTTATACCAAAGGATTTAAAACACATGTGACAATATGACCTATTGAACTCTAGGTTAGAAAACAATCTCATCCATCAGAAGAAGTGTCTTCTTGTATGAGACCAACTCAACACAGATGTTTTCTGGCTTCATGCTTGTTTACTCTGCTCTTGTTTACTTATGCTCTTTCACTCTTGCCTGGGGGCTGAAAGAATTCTGCAGTCTCGCCACCCTCAATGCATTAGTTAGTTAACTTGACTACCCTACTAATCTACACACATTTATTAATATGATTTTACACATAACATTTCTTAACACCTGGAAAGTTTTTTCTCATTTACATTTATTTAAAAGTGTAAACAATATCAGACTTTGCATTCAAAAGATATAACACATATATACACACACAATAAATTACAATTAAATTATAGGTTTTTACCTTTAGTCTTGTACTGCAGAAACAAATGAGACTTCCCCCGTCCTTGCTATGGCTCTTTCCCTCTGTAAATGTCCATGGAAAAAGAATATCCACTTTTCCAAAGTATAATCCAGAAATTATCCAAAAATGCACGTTTATCTTTTGCGACTAAAACGTTCTGAAAGAACGTAGACGCTCCTTATTCACTGTTAGCGGACTTTCAGCTTTGTTTATGATCCAAACACAGGGTATGCTCGTGTTCCCCAACTTGTTAGCTAAAAAAATGAGACCTTCTTTGAGGAGATCCACGCTTGAGTTAGTCTGCAACAGGCCCGTGGATACAACAAGGGAACACCTTTTGCGTACGGTCAGTTTGTACTTGTTGTTAACCAGACGGCTAGGGAAGAGTTCTTTTGCCGAATGATTGACATGTCTAAGTAGCCAATAGGGAAAGCTTTTTAGCAATGGGTGGGGCATGGGGGTACTGTGTTGATTTGTGTCAGTAGAAGCTTGTGTAAAGCCAGGGAGAGAGAAGCTCCCTGATCAGGGCATATATTATATGCATTTAAACTACTAAAAAAATAACTTTGAAAAAATGTTTTTAAAAAATCACACAGATAAGTACCAAAAATATGAAAATATGGTTTTTATGATGATGAAATGTCAGTAAAGCAATTTGCCAAATTGGTTTAGAATGGCACTACTTGATGAAAAAGAGAAACTGTATAAAAACTATAAAACTTAGAAATCTGAACCTTTACACAGGTGTTGTCAACAACACAATGACCATAGGGTTTGAATATTGTGAGCTTACAATGAAGTATACCTTGTTAAGGGCCTTTAGAAATTGAAAATTTTAGGCAAGGCAAAAAAAAAGGTTTTTTTCCCCCAAACTAGGATGCAGAGTGAAATAGGAATGTCATACATTATTTTAGTGTATATTTACATAAACTAGAAGGCTCTAGCTTTAATATGATAAATCATACAAGCATGTCACATGTAAGATGTGTTTTTAAATAAGCAAAGACATTTGGGTATGCCCAACTTATGTACACAAGCCAAAATGAGGCGGAATTCCATGCGACTGACTTCAGGTGTAAACAGCTGAGGAAGCACCATCCAAGGAGCTGTCTGCACCAAGAACAAGGGACAGGGGACAACACAGGACCCAGAGGAGAGGTGTAGTCGAGGCTCCAAACCACTAGATCCATGTTGCTGGTGTTTAGGTAGAGTTTAAATATCATGTTGCTAAAACTTCATGTGCAAAAGTTCAAGCTGTATAGACACGTTTGCAAGGTACTGCACACACATTTTAGGTACCCCAGCTTTAATGATTCCCAGCACAACACTTCAGGAATGGTCTTCTCCAGAGGTGAAGTTTGACTTCACCAGTTTGTCCAGAATAGACTAAGGACATCTTTTGGTCATTTGTAAAAGTATAATACTCTCTTGTGATTAACTGTCCCCCTCATCTGTCGTCCTTCACCAACCCTCTCTGCCTGTCACCTTCCCTGACCATCACCTGTCGTCCTTCACTGACACTCATCTTCTCTGACCGTTACCTTCACTAACCGTCCCTGGAGCAGAGGAAGCAGAAGGTAGTGTGTGCATGTGTACTCTGAACGCTGCATTACACCTACACACGTAAATACACCTGCATATACAAGCGTACACGTACACACACGTTCAAACCTAGCTGTGTGCACACACACATACACAGGTGGTTTGCCAGGCGGGATGAAGAGGAGTGGGTAGGGCTCATACCTCACAAAAATAAGTTTGCAGGATCAATGCCCATGCCAGCCCAGGCAAAAAAAAAATGTAATTGGCCAAAATAATAGAATAAAATAGTAATAATAAATGAAGATTAGTTTTGAAGATCCAAACAAAATGAAAACAGCAAAAGTTATTCCGATCCACAAAGGTGGAGACGAGCATCAATTTACCAACTACAGGCCGATCTCATTACTGCCACAATTCTCAAAGATTTTAGAAAAACTTTTTGTGTCGCGATTAAACAACTTTATTGATAAACATAATCTGATAAATGAGCAACAATATGGTTTTAGATCAAAAATATCTACATCCATGGCAGTAATGGAGTTGGTCGAGGAGATAACCACTGCAGTGGACAAAAGAGAGTTCACAGTCGGTGTGTTCATAGACCTCAGCAAGGCCTTTGACACCATAGATCACACAATACTTTTAAACAAAATGCAGAGGTATGGTGTCAGAGGTCTTGCTTGTAATTGGCTAAGGAGTTATCTTGGTGGCAGAGAGCAGTATGTTCAAATAAACAACACAGATTCAGATAAAAGGATCTTAACACACGGAGTCCCTCAAGGCTCTGTATTGGGACCTAAGCTATTTCTAATGTATATTAATGATGTATGTAAAGTGTTTAAAAAGTTCAAATGTATACTGTTTGCTGATGACACAAGCCTGTACTGCTCTGGGCCAGATCTCAAGAAACTCATTCCAACAGTCAAGAATGAACTTGTTATTCTTAAACAGTGGTTTGATACAAACAAATTATCTATAAATTTGAATAAAACTAAATACATAATCTTTGGAAACAGAAATATTGACACACCATGCCACATACAAATATCTGATGTGGAAATTGAAAGGGTGTATTCTACTAAATTCTTGGGAGTCAACATAGATCATGAATTAAATTGGAAGCTGCACATAAACATTCTGAAGACAAAACTCTCAAAAAGTATAGGTATGTTATACAAAATACAAAACTCTGTAAATCATGATGCACTTAATATGTTATATAATTCCTTCATACTGCCATATCTCAATTACTGTATTGAAATATGGGGTAATAATTATAAATCTAACACCAAATCAATTTTCACACTCCAAAAGAAAGCCATCAGAATCGTACATTATGCTGATTATTATGCACACACTAATTCCTTGTTTCTTAAATCTAAAACACTAAAGTTTACGATCTTGTTGATCTAAACATTGCAATTGTAATGTATAAGGCCCATAATCACCTGCTGCCTCAGCGTATCCAAGACCGGTTCAAACCCAGGGAGAGTACATACCATCTCAGAGGCTCCAAAGTTTTCCAAAAACCAAATGTAAGAACTAATATTAAGGGTCACTGTATATCTGTGAGGGGGGTTCAGCTTTGGAATGGCCTGGACGAGGCCTCAAAAAGCTCTATCTCTATTCAACAATTTAAAAAAACCTTCAAAATAAATGCTCTGGAAAAATACATTGAACAAAAAGAAACTTAGTACCATAATAATAAAAAATAGTAATATTTGAAAATAATATCAAATAATAATAATAATAATAATACATAATAATATTCATAATAAATAATATGTAGATATGTACGTATGTGTATCTATATGTATGTATATGTACATGTGGGTATATGTATATCTATGTGTATATATGTGTGTGTATGTATATATGTATGTGTATATATGTGTATGGATAAATGTGTATTATATTAATGTACGTATGTGAATTATGTATATATCAAGGTATGTATGTGTAAGTGTTATGCATTTGATTGGCAATAGGGGGTAGGCCCAGATAAGCTGTTTCAGCTTCTGCCAACTCCCTTTTGGGCTATTTTTTATTTATTTTTTTCTTCTTCACATTATTATTCTTTTGTCTTCTAAATGCCCCAAAAAAAAAAAAAAAAAAAAAAAAAAGATTACTTTAGCTAAACGTGTGGCTACCTTGGCCCCCTCCCACTTTCTACGCTTGTTGGGTCAGTGCACACTCTACTCCAGCCAGTTCCATATCACACACTCCTCACAAATGCACACACACCCTGAGGCCAAAGGCTCTCCTGTATTGGGCACCACGACATGTGAGAACTTTGGAGAAAGCGACTGTAGCTCTCCAACATTAATTAAAAATTGTGTAGATTGCTGGCACTTCAGGTCAAAGCTACCGAAAACAGCACGGCACGGACTTAAGTGGATTTTGTGTTATAGATGGTAGTTTTGTGCTGTATCTGTTTTTTAAATGTAATAGGGCCATCATAAATAAATATATATATTAAATAAACCCGCTTATATTAAATATCTTTAGAGTGGTTTAATTTCGTACACAGAAGTGTCGAAGTCATTTACATCAATCGAGAAAAGTTAGCCTGAGCTAAATAAACAATAAAGGGATTTCAGTAGTCAATAGCCTATTGGTCCCTTTCCAATCAGACAAAGCATGTTAAAGGTAGATATTTTTAAATGTTGCTACATTCTTATATTGAGGTAAAAAAAAAAAAAAAAAATCACCTTTTGCATGACCCCACATGGGTTCTAACTGTTCTGACCAAGTTTCCCGTATTTTGAATGAAAACTCTGCTGTGTGAAAAAGGTGACTTTTATATTCCCAGGTTTTAAATGGGATTTAAAACCTGTTGGATTTAGGGCGGATTTATGACCACTCTCATGTGGCTACAATGACATTTTCAAGAGTCAAGCTGTGGATATTACATATCATTGTTGTGGCTTGAATATTAGGGACCCCAGCTTTAAAGCACATATACTAACACTGTCTCCTGTGCTCCTTTAGCCCATTGTGTTTGTGTCGGACCGAGCCCATGCCAACAAAGAGATTCAGCATGAAGGAATACGAGGAGAGGTCAAGAAGAAGCCCAAGGTGAATGTTGAGTCAGGTGCCATGCCAAATGTGTGAGTCAGGGGCTAGTCTACACATGTTGTATTTTAGTTTAAAGTTATAAGCAAACTTCCAAAATATAATTTCTTTATAAATAAATATGTATGTATATAATGCACATATACAGGTTTATATCTTGAGATTACACATACAGGGGTATATCTTACTTAATCAATATTTGCTTAATCAATCACGGCGGCTATACTGGACGACAAACTAGGCAAGTAACAGCGATGCTAGCTACTTATAACTGGACCTTCAAAACTAGAACTCTCTCAAACTTCATGAAAACTGAACAAAGACTTTGAAAAATCTGCATTTAGTGACCCAAATATATACTCAACCTAATTCCATAATCAGATCCTCTGCAAATGCGTCCTAAAATGTATTATTAATGTTAATGGTTACTTCTGGGTTTACTGCAGTCGCATTTGGTTGCATTGAAACAGTATTTTTGTCATGAAAATGTTAACAGATAATTCTGAAAACCTCTGTGCACGTGTGTTAAGAATGTATATGTATAATGTATTCTCCGGTTAAGATTTAAATGTGTTTATTTATTGATATTTGTGTTTATTGCTACACCATGGATCTATGTGTCTACACTAGCGTGGAAATAATGAAATTTCATTCAAATCAAATTAGTAATCTGCGCTAGGGCTGGGCGATATGGCAAAAAAAAAAATCTCAGATTTTTTCACACCAAATCCGATTTTCGATTTTAATCGATTTATTTTTTTCTATTTAAAAACAAACTACAACTGACAAAGAAATAGATTTTCCTTTATGCAGTTTAATCTAAATCCCCATGGAGCATAAGTGTAACAGGAATTAAGCCTTAAAACATGCTTGTAAACGAGATGGCTCTGCCATTGTAAACAGTGAAACTGTAGCTTAACAGTTTTATAATAACTTCACTTACAATGACACTATGCACCTTCAAAATAACTTAAATCACACAAACAAGGCCCATCGCAAATATATCAATCCTATTAAACACATGCATTATTTACATGAAATATCACATTTTTAAAACTGATTACTCAAAATAGAAATGTTGTAACAGACAGTCTTTTCCAAAAGCCTCCTCGGGTTTTCATGCTTGTTCTTTCAACTGTGCCTGAGTAACTGTGCTGTAGTACAACGCTCGGTCCAGCTGGTGGCGCTAATACTAACTTGAGTGACTCCCGCATTGTGCGAGCTTCCTGTTTACATTCTGATGCTGTAGCTAACAGCTACTGTAGCAGCTAACAGCTACAGTAGCAGCTACTGTAGCTAACAAACAGCGGGGAACACGTTGTTTGTATCAAAGCAATGAGAGCAATTGGGCGGCAGTAGCTCAGTTGGTAGAGCTTTGGCCTTTGAGCCAGAAGGTCGTGGGTTCAAGCCCCGCTCAAGACTTTCACCATCGACTCCCTCTGACTACTGTCGTTGTGTCCTTGGCAAGACACTTAACCTCTGGGAACACCAGCCACAGTGGGGCGGCTGCGGCTGTAAAGTGCCAAACTGCCGTTGTGTCCTTAGGCAAGACACTTCACCCCCATTGCCTAGAATGAGTCTGGTGTGTGTGTGAATGGTTGGTGGTGGTCGGAGGGGCCGATGGCGCATACTGGTTGCCTCGCTTCTGTCAGTGTGCCCCAGGGCAGCTGTGGCTACAGCAGTAGTTTATCACCACCGTGTATGGAGTGAATGAATAATGACACATGTGAAGCGTCTTTGAGTGTCCAGAAAAGCGCTATATAAAACCGATGCATTATTATTATTATTATTATGTGTGAGACGTGTCTTTCCCCAAAGTGCAGCGGCTCAGTGGGACACGAGTGTGTGCGCGCCACGGACACGGGAGTGCGCTTTGGAATAACGAGCGTGAGAGAGCGTGAAAGATGTGGCGTACGAACATGGCGTACGAACATAGCGACCGGAGCCTGCGTGCGTGTGTGTGTTCTGGCGATTAAATAAAGTCTGATTCTTGAACGTTTGAAGTGTTATTGCAACAGCACCAACTGTGAGAGCGAGCATCAGGCCAGAGGGAGACTGTTAGCATTAGGTTAGCCTCAAAATGACTGCTCAACACCATAGACCCGCGGTTAGCGCGTTAGCGCTGTAGTTCTGCGCTGGAGAAAATAAAAATCAAATTTAAAAAAAAAAGAAATCGCCCTGAACGTAAAACTCGAATTAATGATTAAAATCGATTAATCGCCCAGCCCTAATCTGCGCCTACTGTGAGGAGCCGTATACTTTTTAAAATAAATACTAGTACGGGGCACCCTGCCTACACGTCTGCTGGCCTTTGCCAGGCATGGCAAGTCAGGCACCCTGTGAGCTGGGTGCATACATCTGGATTTTCACATCCTCACACACAGATGGCAGGTCATTTATATACAGTGAGAAGAGCAGAGGGTCGATGTTGGAGCCTTGTGGCAGCCCAATATCAGTAGCACTGATGTTGGATGTGGTGTTACTGATTCGCACACATTGACTCCGCCCAGATAGGTAAGACTTTATCCAGGCCAGAGTATTTACAGACAGATTACATTTTTTTAATTTTGAAAGTAACGTGGGGTGACTAACAGCGTCAAATGCTTTGCGAAGGTCTAAGAATATTATTCCTACAACTCCTCCATTATCAAGCTTTTGTTTTATTGTTTCTATGAGAAGGCAACATACTGTTTCGGTCGAGTGCTTTTCTCAAAAACCAAACTGCATGGGATGTAATAGGCCTTCATCCTCCAATTCAATCTGGAGAGACTCAGAAGACAAAATGCAGTTTGAATGTTTTTATTGATAGGTAGTTTGGCGTCCTAGGCCCCCGTGCGGCAATTAGGGCCAGCGAGGCTCCTGCTGAGTGCGCGCACGATCCCCCCGAGGCCTAGCAACTGGTGGTGGCATTAGGGCAGCAGGAAAGAGCGCACGCTCGAGCAAGGAGAAAGAGGCGGAGGAGGGGAGGCGGTGGTTTGCGAGGCTTGAGAAGGCCGTGAAGTGGGAGTCTCCGCTTTTAAGCTGCTTGCCTGGCCTGCATAGGTTGGCTGGGAATGGGCGTTTGCTGTGCGATAGGCCGAGGATGAGAGGCAGGCTTGGAGGGGATAGCTTTGGCAATCAGTCTACCAGAGTGAACCTTCGCGAAGCTCCATATCTTGTGTCAGCTGTTCAACTACTACCTTTTCTATTGTTTTTGATATGACTTCCACACGGACTACGTGCTTTTCTTCAACAAAGACGCAACGCACCGCAAGTAAGGTCCCTTGGGAACGTGTTGTTTGTGGCTAAATGTCCATCTGATTCGGTGTAAATTTGGTTTGTACTGTGACCCACAACTTTCACTGTATTACTGAAATCATTGTTCTTAAAATAAACCACAGTATTAAGTTGCTGCTACGTTATTATTTCTCACAGAATACAGAATTCTCTGTTCGGTTCAAAGTACCCGCGCCTACAGATTATGAGACTGAATAAATGCAATTTTAATTAGATCTTAACGCCTTATCAAGAGGCTGGTGCCCATTGTTCATTGTAGGTAAATCCTCCTTTAACTAAACTAGGTCTAATTAAAATTCACTCGTAGAATCACGCATGTGTCCATGAAAACAGACAGAAAGTTATTCTACTCAATTTAAGCTATCTTAGCATAGTATTTTCCCTACAATACCTAAAGACAACTTGTGTAGGATTAGTAGCAGACGGTAGTGTCAGTAATAACAGTAAATGTGCTACAGCTACAAAACGGTAAGTGGTAAATGTTGCTAATATTAGCTTCTCTTGGCCGCAAAATAAGAGTATATATTATAATAAGAGAGACTTCTCGGATTTATGAGTAGTGAATAGAATACAAAATGTAAACACTGAACTCAATACAACCGTAGTTTAAAGTCCCATGCTACGCTAGCCTTATTAGGACCAATAAATACATGATTTTGGCTTCTCATAGAAGCATGTCTACGTGTGGAATTATCCATCCATCCATTTTCTACCCTTTAATCCATTTCTGGGTCAGGGGGGTGGCAATCAGAGATGCCACCCAAGTCTCATAGCACCAGCCCCTCACTGACCCTCTGCAGGTGGTGAGTCCACAGGAGGGCTGCTCTCTGAGTGTGAGCATAGCCTTGATCTTTCAGCTGGGGCTTCAGGCAATGTGGGGTTAAGTGTCTTGCTTAAGGACACAACGACAGCAGTCATCAGTGGGAGTCGGTGGAGAAGGTGTAGAGGTGGGAATTGAACCCACGGCCTTCAGGCCTGAAGGCCAATGCTCTACCAACTGAGCTACTGTCGCCCTACGTGTGGAATTATTTGTATTATTACAGTTAGGCTTATGTTTATAGATACAGAATATAAGAGTATTTTTGTACCTCTTTCAAACGTCATTCATTTGTGTATTTATCATTTGGCTTTTTCATGTGATTCACTATGCTTTACATTTATTGAAGTATCCCATCTTGGAAAATATAAACTCAAATTGAATTGGTCTAAATATCTTGCAAAACAGTAACATTTCTTACTGAAGTCATCCCCTCAAATCTGTAAATGGTCGATGACAGGACTGAATCAGCTTTTTCTGTTCTCTTCCTCGTGCACACGCTTCTCATTGAGGCTGCAGTTACACGTCTGGCTGGAGGGGGCAATCGCGAGCACAAAAGTCGCAAACTCCACATAACTCGTTTAAAAATCAATGTGACTTTTAGAAAAAAATAAATTATTCTGTCTCTCATAGTTTAGGTATACCGAGGATGAAAGTTACAGGCCTCCCTCATATTTTGCTTGTTGTAAATGCGAAAAATAAGTATATTTGACTTATCTTGCAGGTTGTGTCCCGCAATAAGGTATGAGTTTACAATCCCAGATGGTTGATTAGAGGCAACGATATTGATAGTATGGCTATTAACTAGGACTATTTATTGTTCTTGTTTTACAAGACTCCTTTTTGTGTTGTTGAGCACATTGGACTTGGTGCCTATGCTGCACCACTGCAGCTCCAGTTACTCCTCCCTCCACAAATCCGTAAACCTTGTTTTTTTTTTTTACAGCGCAAACTCCTGGAACCTGAGGAGGAGACAGAGGATGAGAAGCACTTCAGGGCCATCTATCAGCAGATCTCGGGAGATGTGAGTGCTGTCATCGCCTTGACAACAATTAAACACATTTTCCTACGTTTTTCAGAAAGAATGTAGAAAATGTATGGAAAAACATAAAAAATTCAATATTATCTCAGCATGTAATTGCCCCCAACTCATTATCAAAGAACAATACCTGCCCCCTAGTTCAATTAAGCCCAATAGGGTAGTGCTCATGGATGAAGTTTTGTTCCTTACATTGAAAAGTAAACCTTGAAAAGTAAGGGTTTATGTTAGCACTTTGTCAGTCCACTCCAAATATACAGTCTATGGTCATTTTGTAGCTTGACATGAGGAGAGATTTCTGGTTCCAGAGTTAAAATTCCTCCTTAAAAAAATCAATGATCAAGAGTTTGAAGGCTAACTCAAGGCTATCTGCTATCAGCAGTGTTGGAAAAATATGCACAATTGACATTTCTTAAAGGTACTCTGTGTAAACTCTAGTCCACGGCCTCCATTTATATCAGGCTCTGAGCCATGAGCCCAAACTGTTTTTCCTTCGGTTGTATATGCCCATGTCCTGGCTTCTCTGATCATCGCCACAGATGTCCCATTCCTACACGGGTCTCTTCTCTTCTCACCGCATTTGTAAAACTTCAGCCGCTATGCAAACGCTGACTTTTTTACATGTTAGCCTCAAGCGCACCGTGTCAAGTGACCAAACTAAAGTATTCATTTCGTGGCGGCCAAGCTCGAATGACCGGGAGTTGGGGACAACTGTCAAAGACGACATGTTGTCCCGAAGGCTTCCATAGTGCTGGGGCTAGAACATTGACTGCAATATATGATCTCAACTAGATCATATAACGCTAGATGGAAGTATAAACTACACAGTGTACCTTTAATCATACATTTGTAAAAAAATATATATATATATATTCAAGATTAATATATTAATTAATATTTGTGTGTTTCCTCACAGGACATGCAGGTGTGCGCCAACGAGCTGAAGATCATCCTGAAGAACGTGCTGTCTAAACGTTAGTCCCATCAACCAGACAATATGAGCCAAAGAAGCCTCCTGCAGAAGTGCAGGAGGAAAAGCCTTTAGTCTGTGTGGTCAGTGTGTATGTGTTCAATATATGTGGGTGTTCCGTGGGTACACTGTCTACACACTGAACTTTGCTCAGGTGTTGGTTGTGTGTATTTGCAGACAATATCCAGTCGGATGGCTTCAGCCAGGAGACATGTCGCAGCATGATCGCTCTCATGGACGTATCCTTCGACAGGATCTAGCTCTCTACAGCATCAGGATCTAGCTCTTTACACCATAAGAACCTAGCTCTCCCCAAATCAGGCTAGAGTATGAGTGGTTATTGTTGGTTATTCCAAGAATGAGTGGGTTACACTCATTTTTGAAAAAAACAAAAATGTATGTAACCCACGCCTCTGTTAGGATCTATAATCAGCGTGTCTAAACTGCTTTACCCGGCCAATTGTAAAAAATAAAAAAATAAAAGAAATGTTGCAAGATCATTTTAAGATTGTGTCAAAATGTGTGTCCTCGGTGCTTACTACTTGTACAATGTACATGGGGATATGAGCTCACGATTACTGATTGTGGGAATTTTAAATATGCACTTAGGGTCTGGAGCAGGACAGTGAGCTTTGGGAGACTCCTCTGACTTTAAATAATAATCTCTCTGTATATGATCGGGCACAGTAGAGCGGAATATGCAGTGTGTTTTCCATGACGACGCCACTCAGACGGATGGCAGTGGAAAACTAAACCTCCAGGAGTTCAAACATTTGTGGAAGAAAATCAAAATGTGGCAGGTGAGTTTTCAGATTTGCCTTTACAAACTATGCAAAAGTATATATTTTGGTGCCAATGACCAATATAGATTAACCATTTATAGATCAATTGTTCTAATAAACAAACAAATAGACAAATAACTACCATCTAAATTGCTTTTAGAAAAACAACTGGTAAAATTTAACCTTTCTTTAGAATGAAGCTAAAAAGAAAAGGAAAAAATAAAGTGGCAAAAAGAGAATAGTGAGGTGAAAATATGAATATCAAAAGTACACATATTAACCCTCCAAGGTCTAGGGTCATTTTGGGGAACCTTCCTCGCCTGGTTTTCTTTGTGTATAATTGCTCATAAAAGAGTCATTTTTTGATGCAGAGTCAAGCAGCATACTTTGTTTTTTTCAGTACAACCTGGGGTTTTAGAATATCTATATTTTAGAGCTGTCATATCAATTATATAAACAATTTGGAGTAATGAAGACAAAGAAAAAATTTAAACGGAAAATTGAAAAACACTGTTTACACTGCATAGAAATGTGTTTCATGGTCTTGGGGATAATGGGGAAAAAATTTGAATCCGTAACTATTATACTTTTTACAAAATTCCTCTATAAAAGCCAAAAACGCTGTACTCCTGATGCCCTTCCTCAAGCAGTTTGTCTATGAGGCTGTGGTTGCTTCTGTATCACAGCTGTAAAATATGTAAAACTTGTTTTTTTCAGTACAACCTGGGGTTTTAGAATATCTATATTTTAGAGCTGTCATATCAATTATATAAAAAATTTGGAGTAATGAAGACAAAGAAAAAATTGAAACGGAAAATTGAAAAACACTGTTTACACTGCATAGAAATGTGTTTCATGGTCTTGGGGATAATGGGGAAAAAATTTGAATACGTAACTATTATACTTTTTACAAAATTCCTCTATAAAAGCCAAAAACGCTGTACTCCTGATGCCCTTCCTCAAGCAGTTTGTCTATGAGGCTGTGGTTGCTTCTGTATCACAGCTGTAAAATATGTAAAACAAAACAAACAAAGACAAAAAAAAAAAACATCTAATTTATATATACAAATACATTATATACACATAATATCATTTTACTGTATTTATTATTGTCTATTCTCAATAAAGTGAACTCCTCTGGTTCCTCTGAGCGCTGCTGCCTGTGCTGCAACAAGTAAACACAGAGGAGTGAGCCATCCCACTCTCTGACAATCTTTGTCTGAGTCCCGTGTGTGTAAACAACTTCACATGCGGCTGTGCCTGGCTCACGGGGCACCGCTTGAAGATCCGTTTGGGGGACTGACTTTCATACACACGTAGTTTATCCCCCGTATGCAGCAGAGACAAACCGAAGGTAGTTTCGGAAAGGCTGGAATGTGTACTTCACGGAGATAAAAAAAAGTAAGTCGCTAGCATTCACCGTTCGCAAGTAAATTGATCATTTGTAAAACATGTGCGCCACCATCGTTGGCGATGGCATCGTCTTTTAAGGGTTAATATGGGGCTGGTGCCATGTATACTGTGTGGCATCTCTGGCAATCCGTGTATCATCCGTTCTTTTGATTTTCTAAATAAAACCAACATTGAAAAAACAAATAACAGGAAAATCTGTGTAAATCCGTGTAAATGAGAATTGGCAGACCTCTCAAAAACGTCTTTACAGGATGGACCAAAAGCTTTGGGCTCTTGGCCCAAAGCTTCGTTCCCCATGTGTGTCAATGCTGAGGGTGGTGAATTTTTTTGGTCCACTCTAGTTTACGCGCTGTGAAGTCTCTCGTTCAAATGAATGGAGCTGCGGCGGCTGACGCATGCGCAGATGCGTTTTTTCACAATTTTCTTGTGGGCGGGACCACTCGCGGCCATTTTGGATAGCTCCAGTAGAGCACATTTTTTGGCCCATTAGTTAGAACGGTCGGTTGTCAATCACATTTTGGACATATTCTTACCTGGGACCCCTGCCTGTCGTATTCCCCTCCTGGGAAACGATGTGGATCTGCCAAATAACACGCTGGCTTGCTGTCATCTGGCCCATCGTGTCCCTAGTCCATCTGCAAACCAATGCTCTCCTACAATATTCCGCTGCCGAACTTCTAAAACTTTGGCACCACGTCTCCGTTCCTCTTAAGCCACTGGAGCACGGATTATTATTATTAATAAATACATATATGCAAATCATTATGTATGAAAATCATTTAAAAAAAATAATATTCCATCCATCCATTTTCTTCCCCTTAATCCATTTCTGGGTCGGGGGGGTGGCAGTGAGAGCTGCACCCAGTCACAGAGCACCAGCCCCTCACTGATCCTCCTGCAGGTGGTGAGTCCACATGAGCTGAGATCTTTCAGTGGGGGCTTCAGGCAAAGTGGGGTTAAGTGTCTTGCCCAAGGACACAACGACAGCAGTCATCAGTGGGAGTCGTGAAGTAGGTCTTGAGGTGGGCTCGAACCCACGACCTTCAGGCTCACAGGCCAATGCTCTACCAACTGAGCTACTGAAAAGAGTACAAATAAAAAGGAGCCCGAGCCCGGAACGGCCCGACTGCTGAGCGCTGAAGTGAGGCCCTGCTCGGCCTCGGGCTGAAAAGCGAAACTCTACACTGAAGGAGCTCCTCAGCTCCTCTACAGTCCTGTGCAGTGGGTCGGAGGTATTGTTCATGATGGAGGTGGCTTTGGCTAGCACCCTCCTGTCCCTCACCTGGAGCCCGGTAGGCTCCAGTTGAGAGAGTGTCCGCTGCAGGAAGTAGATGACGGAATGTTGGGCCTGTAGGCGAACTGCAGCGGGTCCAGGGTGGGGCTGACCACGGAGCGGAGATGGGTGAGGATGAGCCGCTCCATGGTCTTCATCAGGTGGGAGGTCAGTGCGACTGATCTGTAGTGAGCCGGTTCCTTGGCGTGCGGTGTTTTAGGAACCGGGATCACACAGGAGGTCTTCCACAGGACAGGGACATTCCCCAGGCTGACAGCTCAGGTTGTACATGTAGTTGAGGACCCCAGAGAGCTGGTCTGCACAGGTCCTCAGCAGCCTGGGACTGATCCCGTCCGGTCCTGCGGATTTCCTCAGCTTCAGTTGCTGGAGCTGACTCTTCACCTGGTCCGGTGTGATGGAGAGGGGCGAAGACTGGGGTGTATTGTCAGAGGTGGGGGGCGGGGATGTGGGGGCAGGAGGGCCCAGGGCAGCCAAAGGCAGTGTCCACTGGGCTGGGGACGTGTGAGAGGTGGGGGCGGGAGGGGGGGGGGGGACAGATGGAAAGGGGGGAGAATCAAACCGGTTGAAGAATTGGTTAAATTCATCTGCCCCGTGCTGGTCTCCATCCGCTGTCCCGCTAGCACTCTGTCCAAAGCCAGAGATGTTCTTTAGTCCTCTCCACCCCTGAGATGAAAGCCCTTTTCTTGAGATTCAGTAGGGCTTTAAGCTCAGAGGTCATCCATGGGTGGTTGTTAGAAAAACACCGTACCTTCTTAGTTGGTACAGTGTTATCCACACAGAAGAGGATATAGTCTGTAATACAGTGTGTCAGGCCTTCAATGTCATCGCCATGAGAGCTGCAGATCATGTCCCAGTCTGTGCTTTGGAAACAAGCTCTCAGCCGCTCCTCAGCATCATCGCTCCACACTGTAATACACATCCTCTGCGCTGGATTCCTTCTCACCACGGGAGTGTATTCTGGAGACAAGCAAACTAGAGAGTGATCGGAGCGTCCGAGCGGGGGGAGGGGGGAGGAGGCGTATGCGTCCCAGACATTTGCATACAGTGAGTCAATTGTCTTATTCTCCCGAGTGGGACATGTGACATACTGTTTGAAAGTCGGGAGAGTGGCGGAGAGGGAGGCGTGGTTAGATCTGGGTCACGGTGCTGTGGATCCCCTCACAGGCTGCGGCCGCGTCTGTTGACGGGGGGATGTAAACACACAGAACCACGGTGTGTGAAAACTCCCGCGGCAGATATCTGGGTCTCATGCTCAGAGCGAGCAGCTCCAGATCCTGGGTGCATGTACGTTTAATGACATGAATATGAGCCGGGTTACACCACCTCTCATTCACGTACACCGGTATATTCCCACACAGCCATGTCTCAGAGAAACACATTATTCCACATTGTCTGTATTCCCTCTGATGGCGGCCGAGGGCTGCCAGCTCTTCAATCTTATTAGAGATGGACCGTACGTTCCCCATGATGACGGAGGGGAGATACGGCCTCCTCTTCCTCTTTCGGCCTCCCCTGGAACCTCTGCGTCTCCTACGGATCTCCACGGGGATCCCCGGCTTCTCTGCATGCAGGAAAGCGGTCTCTAAGTCCGAGGAGCTGCTCCCGTGTGTAAACAATAGGACGCGTGGGGGTTCTTGCGGTGCTCTGAGCGGAGGGATCCAAAAGTGCCGAAAACATGGTTAATCCATTCAAAAAGTCAATAAGACTCGGCTTTCCGTATGCACTATTGCACGATATATCACCTACTCTAAGAATTATAATAAAAAACAGCACATCTACAAAATTAAATAGTGAAAAAGGTCAGAAAGAGAGAGCCGAAGTGACGAGCTGCTCAGCTGCGTGCTGGCGCCTGCTGCCCCTGTCTTCTCCTCCTTCCAATACTTTGCCTCACTGCTGCCTGGACCATCTCCTACTGTTATAGCCACCATCTACCGCCCGCCAAAACTTAAGGACTTTTTACTTTTCTCACCTGCTCACACACTTTTCATCTCTCTCTCAAAACGCAGTCATACTTGGGGAGTTCAACATTCACATAGACAATGATAGCAATCCTCTCACCAAAGACTTCTCCTCCTGTTTAGATAGTTTCGGTTTACAACAATACATACATTTCCCCACCCACTCTAAAGGTCACATATTGGACTTAATCTGCTGCTCTGGTCTCACTCCCACTCACTGTAAACCCCATTCACTCCCATACACAGACCATAAGCTTATCACTTTCAATATCAACCTCACCCTCTCTAAGACCATCCTTCCCCATACCATTTCTTTCCGTAAAATTAAGGACATAAACATTGTCACCTTCACC